CTTTTAGTGCTTGGCACTTGTTCGCCTTTGAGAGCGCGTGTGTCCTTGCTAGAGCGGAGTACGTGTCACGAGTTACAGGACAGGAGTTTGTCAACTTTAAAACATTTACAAATTTTCTCTTTAACCAAAACGAAATTATTTTAATTATATCACAATTGATTTTATGTTTGAGCAAGCTATTCCCAAGATATAATAGATTGCTAAGCGGTTGACAATTTTTTTTTAAATTATAATTTTTCAATTGAAAAACTCTTGTAGTTTATGCCGCGCTTGCGCTATCTTAAGCTCTTTGATAGATCTTCAATAGATTCCTTTGCAATTCATATTTACGCATTCATCGAACAATTTCGTGCTCGTGCTCACGCCCGTGCTGTGTGCGTGACACGGGAACAGCGCTCATGCCTATTGATAATTCTGTAACATGTAATAGCTGAAGACTGAAACCCTACAAAGCAATGCGACGATGTGCGCGATAATTACACCCCATAAAATGGGGGAGCCGAAGATAGCAATACGGACATTATAACAGGACAATTATGTAACCTGATAAGCGCAAGAAAAGTCGCAGACAAAGTCGGTGAAATTAATAACTTGCACGCCCCCCTCAGCCAGTTGGCCAGCCCGCCCGCCCTTGCCCTGGTGGCCAAACATATTTATTACAAATAAAGAGACAAACACAAAAGACAAACAAATAAACAGACTAAACAGGCGGGCAAATAGCAAGTGCCGTGAAGAAGACCGGTACAACAAAGCGTTTGGAGCATTTAATAGGCTTAACTAGGGAAGTCGCCGGAGAAGGAGGAGGAGGCGGAGGAGGAGTAGGAGGACGAGGAGGTGGGCTGAAAGAAGTGTTGACATGTTGGCATTGTTGTTGCAACAATTTACACTACAATTCAAGTACAAAAACCAATTGGGATTTATTTTTTTTTTTTTTGTGTTTGGGTGGGGCACAAGCTGTTTGTTCGACTTAATAAATTTGATTAGTTTTGCGGCACGTTCGGCACTCGACGCTATCAATTATGCATTGCGATACATGCGCTCTGCTTAGTCGCTGCCGCAGCGCAGCTTTCGGTTTGCAAGCTTCTGATTGGCGCATCGCCATCGGGCTTTACATTTGTTTAATGCTCGCGAGCATCTGAGCTACTCGTATTACGAGTCAAGTCGCCACATAAATGGACTTGGCATGTACATAAATACATGCATACAGACAAATGAATATCCGCACACACACACACACACACACACATATATATATTTATACGTATGCATTCGTGTTATCAACGCTGTCGCTCGTTTCATTTCCAGCATTTCCATTTATAATTTCAATTCCAATTCCAAATTCAATTTTTATGCGCACGCTCTCGCTCGCGCGTGCCTTGGTCTGTGTCTGTTCTCTCCGCTTGCCACTCCACCGTTCCCAATGCCTAGACGCTCTCTCTATCTCTCGCCTGCTTCCGCACACGGCTATGCGCTGGCTCTGCTGCTGCTGCGCGCCTTGCTCGCTCGCTCGCTCACACACTCTCTCTTCGATTATTTTATCTGGCGCTCGCTAGCCAATCGCATGGCCGTTTCATTGCCAGGTGAGCTATTGGCGTTTTCGTATCAAAACGAAATTCGTATTGTAATTTGTTGTCGACGCCAGACAATTGAGTATATATATATATATATAATAAACACGTGCCACACCCAAAATAATGGCGAGGTGTGCCCAATAAATCAGCCACAATTAGCAATGGCTTAGAATTCAAGCAGCTCCGCCCGATTGCTTAATAGCCGCAACACCTGATGCCCTTTGTGCAGGGCCCAAGACTCAATTGCATTTTTACGCTCTTTTAATTGAGTTAGCTAATTAAATGACCATCCCTGCTGTGTGGTCGATGCACAGCAGCACCCACAAGGGCCTCAGACACTGTGGGAATTTGCACAGCTTTGGCGGGCATAAAAATGTGCGGCGTAATTGTCGGTTGGGCGGCATTTTATTGTGATTGGACAGCACTGAAAACTGTGCACAGTTTAATGTGTTTCTCGGCTAAACCAAATCGGACGGACGGGCCATAGCTCAAAATAGCTGAGCGCCTTAAACGTGGGCGTGCTTAGCGCTGGGCTTTTTCACGTATTTTCCCAGGGCAGCAATTTAACCTGCGAGCTGGGGTAATTGCTATGCACACACCTCGTACACTCGCTGTCGTCCAATAATTTCACGCAGTGCTAATTAATTGCCCAACAATCGTCAGCGTCGGCGGCGTCCAAAATGCAGTCAAAGTCAGCGTGGGAAAGCCGGGCTAAAGCGGAAATCGAGTGACCGCTCTCTCAGCTAAGCTCAGTGTCAGCTCTCGGAACTTGTCGCTTCAGTTTTTACAGGTTTTTCAATTTTCACACCTGTCTGTCGAGTTGGTCAATTGATTTCACCTTTTGTTGAATCGGGCAGCAGGCAGCAGCAAATTCAATTAGTAATAAACAAGGCATTGATACGCGCCCCCGGCCACCCAAAAGGTGGCCCAACTGTCCAGAGTCTACGATTCTTTCTCGTGTGACTATAAAATTTATTAAAGCCCGGGGGCTGCATCGCGCCGCGCCGCGCCGCGCTCATACTCAGTCGGCCTCAACATCCGAATCTAAATCAGAGCCGGGTCTGAACAGTCAGCGATGGGCGGTAGGCGGTAGGCGGGAAGGGAGGCAGCGGGAAGGGGGCAGCTGTATGCGCGCCCACGTGTGGTACTTATAATAAAGCAATTCAGAGAAATCATTTGCAGCGGGAGCCGCAGCCGCAGCCGCACAGACACAGCGAAGCATTTGAAGTGCGCCTATTAAACGCTGCAAATCACAGCCGATGCGCAACAAGCTGTAAACTTGTTGCAAAAGATGAAAAAACTCAATGCGACTCTTCGCTCACACACACACACACACGCACCATGAATGAGTGTGTGGATGTAAATAAATGTGTGTAAGGCAGCCAGAACCAGAACCAGAACCGTGGCATCAGCAAAGACCCCGAACACCAACGCAGCGTAAAGAGATCAAAATGAAAACATTTCAGTTTCGCACAGTGGGTCGAGCTATGCAGAAAACACTCCCAAAGATGTCGCAGAATTTTAATGAGAAATCAAAATTCGATTTCTTTGAATATTTTATTAATGTTTAGAAAGTATAAACTATTAATTGACAACAGTAAAAATTGAAAGTATATATAATACAATATTATTATATTAATATTAGGAAGGAAAGGAAGAACCATTAAGTCAAAATATTAACGATTGATCCTCACACGAATTCCTTTAAAATTTTTGTACTTGTGTAAGTCACAATGTGAGTTAGGATATCTTATAGTTGGCATATCCTTTTCTTATTTGTGTTATTCATCAGAATAGCTTTTTTCTAAAATGTTGTTTAAAAGGGACTATTATTTGGCTGCCTGTTTGTCACAGTCAGAACCAATGTGCAACGTCATCGAGCCTACAGAGCAAGATACCAGGTCAGCCCCAATTCCAGTTCCAGTCCCAGTCCCAAGCACAGGCATCCTCCTCGTCCTCATCCTTGTCCTCGTCGTCGTCCTCATCCTCGTCATCGTCATCGTCGTCTTCTGCTGCTGCTAGTCTGTAAATCATGAAGGGCGTATAACGTTGCTTTTGCTCTTCATTTGTTGTATTTTATGCGTACATCTTCGCGGAAAACTCATAAAATTATTAAAAATCGTTTAAGTATTTCGGCATCTTTCATCGCTGCCACAGCGGAAGCAAAATAAAAATGCAGCCATCTAACTATCCAGCCAGTTGGCGCAAGCCCCCATTCCCCAACAGACCCTCAAGAGTGCTCCGACTTTGCGGCCACAACAATGTTTTCAATAATCATTTCATCGACACACCCCCTCCTCCACTTCCCCCACGCACTCCGCAAAAGGGAGGCTGTGCGGGTGTCAAGTGATCGATGCAGCTATGATCGGGCCGGGGGGAACAAGAACGCCAACAAGAGTGGGTGCTAAATAGATATTATTAGCGCAGTTATTAATTGACTCGACTCTAATGAATTTATGAGGCTAGCTGACTTAACGACATGTTTGCTCTGGGCTTGTTGTGCGAACACTTCGCTAACTAAATTTTTCTTAACTTAAGACAGTTTTCATTTTATTTAGCTTTCAAAAAAAGCAAGAGCCTTAGATTCTTCATTCTTCTAGATTCTTCAGAATGGAAACCTAAGGAAAATCGATTAAATTCGATACTTTCTACGGGTGGAAAATGGGTGGAACAGAAGTGGAATCGAAATAAATTAATATTTCAAAATATTGTAGATTGAATAAAACTATAAATCGCGATCAGGAATTCAATTTGCTTTGTAAGTCGTACCCTAAATGAGCCCGAGTTAAATTTCTCGATTATCAAGAAAGTCCTTCTGGGAATCTAAATACTTAAGACCAATAATTCCTTACGGACAACACTTCAAGATCAACAGTGCTCATTAACTGTTAATGAATGCGACTTTGATGGAAAGCATATCCTAGGCAAGGAAAATCTGGTCTTCTATTAATAAATAAATTGTGGATATATCTGTCCTCATTATATTTTATGGATTATTTTATTCAAATATATTTTTATCTTTTCAGATTGAAGGATTCAAGGACTCCAATTTATTCTAAGGACTTCTAAAAATCCAACAAAGGGTTCAGGTTCAGACTGTATTTAAGCCAGATTGAGTATTTTATACATTAATTTTGTTCTTTTCAGTCAAATCTGCAGATCTGCAAATCAAAATAATAGAGGATCGATTCAGCTGGTGAACCTACCTAAAACACCTACAAGGATATGGCCAAGCTACGGATATTTTTCGAAAAAGGATATCATTATAAAAGTTGCCATAACTTGGGCATTGCCAGGACTATTGGTATGCCCATCTTCCAGAAAAGAGTCTTTGGCCATTCAGTATATTTAATTAAAAGGACGAAAGTCCTTTCTGCAGCCTATTAATTGGGACGTGAGTTTCTTACATTAAAAAAGCCATAAGTTAGACTATCCTTGCAGATCCTTGTAAGTTCTGTATAAATTCGATTGAATGGACACAGGTGCTGTCCTTATAGTTTCCATGACATCAAGGATCTTTTGCTGTTCTTTCAAAATCTGTAAGGACATGGCCGAGTTATGGCTAGTTTCCATCCCTAATGAACTCATCTCTTTTATTTGTTCTTCTATTAAAATATGTTTTCATATTTTCAGATTGAAGGATTCAAGGACTCAAATCGCTCTTAAGGACCTCCACGACTCCAACAAAGTCAAGTATGGACTGTATTTAAGCTAGATATAGACATTTTAAATTAATTTTTGTTATTTTTAGGCAAATCAGCTGCACACAAGGACAACAAATGTGTAGATGTATTCTTAGATGGCCGCAAAAAGCTTAGATGCAGATCGATGCAGCTGGTAATTACGATTCTAACACACCAAGATTTTTGAAAATCTTCAAGGATATGGCTGAGCTATAGCTATTTTACTAAAAAGGATATCAATATAAAACTGGCCATAGCTTGGACATTGCCTGGACTAGCGATATGCCTATCTGCCAGAAAAGAGTCTTTGTCTTGCTCATTCAGAATATTCAGTGGAAAGGACGAAAGTCCTTCAAGCAGCCAAGATATAAGGACATTTGTTTCTTATTTAAAAAATGCTATAACTCAATCATATCCTTGCGGATCCTTACAAATCCTGTATCAAGCAATGCGCCTGGAAAAGGACCATAAACTGGCCAAAGGACATCCAAATCGTCCTTGTGGTTTCAGAAATATGGCTACTTTTCTAAAAAGGACATTTTATTTTTAGTCATAACTCGGCCAAATCCTTAAGGATATCAAAAGGATATACCTCTTTGAACTCGCCAGGAGCAGTTCTATCGATTGGCATTCAAGGATTTCCATGATTCGACAAAAAATTTCACCTCAAATTTTCCTAGGGGTTTGGTCGCAAAAATGAAAAAAACCGAAAAATTCCGGGCTAACTTTGCCATTTGAAGGACGATCGGGATGTCCTTTGGACAGTAGATAGTCCTTGCCCTCCCATTTAAGAATTAACAACCCAAAGGACGAAAGTCCTTCAAACAACGAAGTTTTAAGGACATTTTTGTTGAAGGAAAATAGGCCATAACTCGGCTATATCCTTGAGTATCCTGTCGGGTCATGTGTCAAAAAAATTGTATTGACCAGGACTACCAACTGGCCAAAGGACATCAAGATCGTCCTTGTAGTTTCGAAAATATAGCGATTTTACTGTAATTTTGCAATTTCGGCCAATTTTCGTTCGCCCCGCGACTGAAATTTTACCAAGTCCATGATTCTTAGATGACCCCCCAATGTTTTGATGCAGATCGATGCAGTTCGTCTCCACGATCCTAAGGCACCATGTCCTTTGAAAATCTGCAAGGATATGGCCGAGTTATGACTATTTTCCTTTCTTAAGGAACTCATCTGTTTTATGACATTTTTTACTAAAATACGCTCTTATCTTCACAGATTGAAGGATTCAAGGACTCCAATGGATTCTAAGGACCTCTACGGCTCCGACAAGGATATCCCAACAAGGATCGGAAGGATATTTAGCCAAATATAGCTATTTTAAGTAAAAATAAGAAATTCATTAAGAATACAACAAATTTGTTAATGTTAATACAAATAAATAAAAAATGTATAAAAAAATAACAAATTCAAGTTTTTTTTATTCAAAAAGGATATTTAGCTGCAAAAAAAGGGAAAAATTAACGGTCGTTAGAATTGCATTGCATAAGGGGCGGCCGTTAGCAGCCGAGATTTTTCAAAAATTCAGCCAAAATACCAGGCGAACAGAAATGCCCAGAAGGTCGACAAAAAATTTTTCAGCTGCCGAAAAAATCTATTGCATACCCAAAAGGGGCGCCCTCGACAGCGGCTGGGTCTTCGTTTTAAATAAAAAAAACAGGAATTTCTTTAGTAATTTTTAATAAATTTTTTATTTATTTGTATTAACATTAACAAATTTGTTGTATTCTTAATGAATTTCTTATTTTTACTTAAAATAGCTATATTTGGCTAAATATCCTTCCGATCCTTGTTGGGATATCCTTGTCGGAGCCGTAGAGGTCCTTAGAATCCATTGGAGTCCTTGAATCCTTCAATCTGTGAAGATAAGAGCGTATTTTAGTAAAAAATGTCATAAAACAGATGAGTTCCTTAAGAAAGGAAAATAGTCATAACTCGGCCATATCCTTGCAGATTTTCAAAGGACATGGTGCCTTAGGATCGTGGAGACGAACTGCATCGATCTGCATCAAAACATTGGGGGGTCATCTAAGAATCATGGACTTGGTAAAATTTCAGTCGCGGGGCGAACGAAAATTGGCCGAAATTGCAAAATTACAGTAAAATCGCTATATTTTCGAAACTACAAGGACGATCTTGATGTCCTTTGGCCAGTTGGTAGTCCTGGTCAATACAATTTTTTTGACACATGACCCGACAGGATACTCAAGGATATAGCCGAGTTATGGCCTATTTTCCTTCAACAAAAATGTCCTTAAAACTTCGTTGTTTGAAGGACTTTCGTCCTTTGGGTTGTTAATTCTTAAATGGGAGGGCAAGGACTATCTACTGTCCAAAGGACATCCCGATCGTCCTTCAAATGGCAAAGTTAGCCCGGAATTTTTTGGTTTTTTTCATTTTTGCGACCAAACCCCTAGGAAAATTTGAGGTGAAATTTTTTGTCGAATCATGGAAATCCTTGAATGCCAATCGATAGAACTGCTCCTGGCGAGTTCAAAGAGGTATATCCTTTTGATATCCTTAAGGATTTGGCCGAGTTATGACTAAAAATAAAATGTCCTTTTTAGAAAAGTGGCCATATTTCTGAAACCACAAGGACGATTTGGATGTCCTTTGGCCAGTTTATGGTCCTTTTCCAGGCGCATTGCTTGATACAGGATTTGGAAGAATCCGCAAGGATATGATTGAGCTATAGCATTTTTAAAGTAAGAAACAAATGTCCTTATATCTTGGCTGCTTGAAGGACTTTCGTCCTTTCCATTAAATATTCTGAATGAGCAAGACAAAGACTCTTTTCTGGCAGATAGGCATACCGCTAGTCCTGGCAATGCCCAAGCTATGGCCAGTTTTATATTGATATCCTTTTTAGAAAAATAGCTATAGCTCGGCCATATCCTTGAAGATTTTAAAAAATCTTGGTGTGTTAGAATCGTAATTACCAGCTGCATCGATCTGCATCTAAACTTGTTGCGGTCATCTAAGAATATATCTACACATTCGTTGTCCTTGTGTGCAGCTGATTTGCCTAAAAATAACAAAAAGAAAAATTAATTTAAAATGTCTATATCTAGCTTAAATACAGTCCATACTTGACTTTGTTGGAGTCGTGGAGGTCCTTAAGAGCGATTTGAGTCCCTGAATCCTTCATTCTGAAAAGATAAATGCATACTTGAGTAAAACAAGCCATAAAAGATATGAGTACTCTAACGAAAGAAGATAGCCATAGCTCGGCCATATCCTTACAGAATCGAACTGGGTTGGGGTATTTTCCAGCTGCATTGATCTGCGTTAAAACAATCGGCAGTCATTTAACAATATTGATTTGTTTTTGTCCTTGAGCGCTGCAGATTTGGCTGAAAGCAACAAAATGAAAAATTATTAAGAAAAGTTAGTACTTAGTAGTTTGCCTTAAATATAGTGCGAACCAGATTTTGTTGGATTTGTAGAAGTTTTTAGAATCGATCGAAGTTCCCGAGTCCGTCAATCTGAAAAGATAAAAACATATTTTAATAAAAAGAACTGGTAACTTTAGGGGAAAAAAGTAGCCACATGATACGATTTACCTATCATGAAACTCGCCATCCGTACGATTCTTATTACAAAATCGAAGTTTACATATTTCTAAAAAGCTTTAAATGCTTGCAAAAAACTAACTAACAAAAGATTTGACAGCCATGACGATTTCTGCCCATGTTAGTCTGGTGGTGACAATTCCAACCAAACTCGACTCGCATTTTTAATCCAATATCGACGAATAATGCGAAAGGATTATCATATAAATTTACACAAAATGCGAATTTGAGAGCTACGAATTCAAGAAATAAAATTTGCCTGCTCTAGAGAGCGTTTAGCTTAAGCGACTCATTAAAATGATGTGTAGACTCGTCTCATTCGCCAGCCCAAGAATGCGACGAATAATAGACAAGCAAAACATATGCTGTGCATATCAAAAAGCCAGCCATGGGATCCGGCTTTGGACTCGTCGTGGGTCAGACGTACGTTTGTGTGTGTGAATGTGTGCATACATGAGTATATATATATATATTTATACATATATATATATGCATAAACACGCTTGTACGTTTTAAAATTTAGTGTTAATATGTTGACGGATTTCTGGCCATAAACACTTTTTGTGTGTGGAATGTTCGCCCGCCTCAGAGGCTAGGACCGTGCCCCAGTCGCTGCCAGAGTCGTCGTCGTCGTCAACGTCAGTGTCGTCCGTCTGCATTACAGCAACTTGGCTATAATTTTCTTTAATGATGAAAGTTTGGCTGACTTGGACACAGAGAGAGGCAGACAGAGAGAGAGAGAGAGAATGGGGATGTGTGTGCGGCACATGCAGCGATATTCGCCTGTGCCTGTGCTCGACAGGGTCCCAAAGTTCATTAACATAACAAACATTGTGAGGCTCAAGTTAAAAGCTGGAGTCGTGCTTGGATCTGCGTCATGGGGAGGTGGAGTCTACGCATTATAACAATAGTACGAAACCTATTAACAGCAACGATTTTTATTTTTACTGTTCTACGTCGCGACGACTGCAACTGCAACTGCAGCGGCGACTGCAGCGGCGACTGCAGCGGCGACTGCAAGTGCGAATGGTTGCCAGATTCGCTGCGCATCGCTGCATTTCACATTTTGCAAACGGCACGCACATGAAATGACATAAATTATGTGGCAATCAATTATCGACCTGATGATCACGAACCGTATATATACATATATATATATGTATATAATGACGATCGCCATTGCCATAATGAAGTTAAGGGCCAATGCGCAATGGCTGAGAAACTGCCGACTGCAGCTCCGACTCGAGCGCAGCTCAACTGAGGCCAAAGGGGCGTTTAGATCCCTAGACCTATTTGCAATCGATCAGCGTTAAGGAAAAGCTATGAGCCATTTGCTGTTGGCATCAGCATCAACTCTCACCGGCCAACACAGCTTTGCTCACACTGTCTCTCCTCTGTCTCCCTGTCGCCCTGCCTCTCCTCTGTCTGTCAGTCTGCCTGCATTGCTTCATTCACTGTCAGAGCCAGCGAAGTGTTGTTGTTGTTGTTGTTGCTGCTGCTCATGTCAGGTATTACATTGTAACTGTATATATATATATGTGTGTGTGTGTGTGTGGAAGTGTTGCTCTTTAGCTGACTGCATTTTTAAGCATAAAAACATAAAAAAAAGGCAAATACATCATCCATATACATAGCACAATATGATTTTCCATATGACAAAAGTACAGCAACAGCGGTCGCGGTTCGAGGCGAATTACAGTGGTTCACAGCCGATAAACATTCGCCGAAAGTGCAACAAATACAACACAGGAATGTGAAATTAAAATAAATTATTATCTGAGTTGTTAATTGGAATAGCAAAAGAAAAATGCGGAAAATAAATATAAATAATTGCATAGAAAATAAAAATAAAAATATACAAAATAAATATATAGAAAATAAAATAAATATGTAATAATATCGAACTAACCAACAGGGAGTTAGCTTTAAGGTGTTAACCCCAGACTTTTGTTCCAGCCTAGCTTTAACCAAAATCAGCTTTTATCTCTCATTTAACACCGTTTTGCAGCACTGTTTCTTTAGCCCACATGCCGTTGAGATTCTTTGCCTAAATGGCCCACTGTGCACGTAATTTAGTGCTTGGCTTATTCGCGATGGGTCTGTGCCTTATTGTAATTGTCTATCTCTGTCTATCTGGCCATATCTCACTTGTTCTTGCTGCCTCGTGCCCTCCCTTTTACTTCCAGCTCGCTGTGGCCGCCGTCGTCGGCTATTGCTGTCTCTGTCTGTTGACTGGGCATATCAACGAGTTCGATGTAAAAAGTTATACCTATTTCGTTGCTGTCTATTATTTATTGCCGTTGAGAAGACGACGTTTATTATAATTCGAGTGTTGAACCTTTTGTTTTTTATTTGGCCCCGCCAGTGTTGGCTAGCGGGCCAGCGGCTGGCGGCTGGCGGCCATTTTGTTGCAACATTTTAATGCACGGTCGTAAATTTAATACGCCCCGTTGGCCATAAACATTCATGCGAGTGTCCATATCAATGAATCTAAAGAGATAGACGATCGTTGGCCACAACAAATTGTTGTTGTTGTTGCTAGTTTGCAATTAATTGCTTGGCACATTAATTAAGCGACTGGCGATGACACAAAAAGGTCAAAGGCCGCTAATAAGCGTTAGACAAGTCAATTTGTGCATGGCTGAAAATCTATATAAATACCTACACACACACACACACACACACACACATAGTTACCTGTTAATATATGTGTATTCTAGTCGTGCTGGAAATGGATTTGGGGGCATTAAGGCTAATCGCTGCCTTTACGCAAAAACGTGGCACACACACACGCACAAACTTTAATGAACAGAGATTTACAAAAATAAACAGTCTGCTTTTATTTCTGTTGCTGCTGTTGGCGTTTTTTTTGTTTCATATCAAAACCAGGCGCATTCTGATAAATAGAAAACTGCTCAAGCTTATATTTTCTATATATTTTTTATATGTGTTATATATACATATATGTGTGTATTTTCATTTTGGTTTTTTAATTTTCAAACATTGTGCGATATGTAGCGATTTATAAAAGTCAACCAAATTAAATGTGTATGCTGCGAATGGACAGCAGCAACTGTGGAATTGTTTGATGTCATGCTATATGGGATTTGATTTCACACGCACACACACACACACTTACACACACACACACATACACACTTAATTTTGATATGACAATTGAATAGCTGGAGCTGAGGCACAGCGTGGGCGTGCTTAATGTGGTCTAAACAAAACGCAACACTTCCTGTGTCGCGCATTATGCAAACGCAGTGCGCTTGTATTTGTATATCTGTGTATCTGTGTATCTGACGGATACACGAGCATTTGCAAAACTGACTATGGGATGCGCGCCATTTGGACGCCTGAGATGTCAGCCAGGCATCAGATTAATTAATCAACGTGTCGCTGTCGTCAATCTTATTTGGCCTGGCCAAGAGTTTTAAATTTGAATTCAGCTCGAATCTGGCTGTTGGCGTCTGCTAATTTATTTATTTATTTTCGTATTGTTTGTTGTTCTTGTCTCCGGCAATGGACGTCAACAGCTGGACATGTTTGGGCCCGGCTGCCGCTGTTGCCGCTATGCTGTTCGCATTCAATTTAATATAATTTCTTTATCGAAATAGTTGGTTGACTTTCTCGGCATTTCACATGACATTCTGCTCTGCTTACGTGTGGGCAAACGCGTCACTCGCCGCTCGTGAATGTGATGTGATTTCAGGCATTCCTTCGTGCAACATGTCGCATACGTAACACCTATCGAAGCCAAACAACTGCCGCCCCCTCGCCCGCCACGCCCAACCGCAATCGCTTGTGGGCCCTATTATTATATATATTGATATTGCCCATGTCTTTGCCTCAATTGCGGCGCATATAAACACACAATAAATAAAGCAGCGGGCGCAAGCATACCGTATAAAAGTATACAACAAAATGCCCAACTAAGAGGGTGGCACGAGTACAGAAAAACAAACCTAATGAAACCTGCTCATTTTGGGCAAGTCGAATAACGAATACCCTTTTAGACGTTTTGACAATGTCAGATACGTATTGATGAGTTCTTCGCAGTTTTCACAGTCAACTACCCTTGGTGAGTTTACGGGTAGAGTATAGAATATTCTGCTCAGCTATGATATTTATATTTAATTTAATAACTAATCACAATAAACTATTTGTCCGCACGCTGACTAACTCCAAGCCCCAAGTGTTACGAGTTCGGTCTAAAAATCAGCATGCCCTGCCCAAGGCTGTAGCGCAGAACACATTAACACACCACCAACAGCAACAGCTACCAAATTCAATGTCATTATTGATGTCATTCGCATTGTGTTTGTATTTTTATGGTTTTATAATCGCCCCCGACTTTGTGTGTGTGCATGTGTGTGTGTGTGTGTGTGTGTGTGTGTGTGTGTGTTCGCAATATACTTGGCATTTATGTGTGCGAGCATAATGAAATTAACGCAATTTAGTGCACACTTCAGACTGCCGACATTATAGGGTATCATAAATGTGTGCCTATTCAAAAAAAGTTGCAATCACAAAAACTGGTTGGATTATTGTTGTTTACGTCTAAACTGTTAATATGAATGGAACATTACGGAAATATAATTAAACTATTAGCCACACTTACAGCACAAGGTTGCAAAATGTAAATTACAAAGCCATAATTCTTGATTGGATGAAATTAGTCAGCCTATATACGATATAAAGTTCCTTTGGATCATATGTGTATGCATGAATATGGCGCGTTACAAATGTACAACAAAATTGAAGATGTAGACAAAAATGGTCTAAATAAACCGATTATAGTTAATTATAAATTATTATTAATTTATTATGTCAGGAGTGATTTAAGTACTTTATAGCCACAATTTCATTTTGTAATATTTGTTTTAGTATTGAAAATATTTGTAGAA